ATAATAAAAATGATGATATTGTCATACAAAGAAATTAACAATTAAGTAAAAAGAGAATATAATCATAATATAGTTTATATTATATAATTCTTTAAGTAATATTCTATAAGAACAGAATAGTTATATTGTTTCTGAAATTAAGGATGATTTTATATTTTTATTTTTTCCTGAATTTAAAAGAATTTGCAACTTTTAATTTAGAAAACTAATTGTATAAGAAAAAAAGCATTTATATTGCTAATCTTTAAAGACTGATAACCTTTTGTCTTTTTTCCGTGAAGTCCTACTTTCATTTATTTTTTGATTATCATTTTATTATTTAACTTTACATTGCTTAATTTGCTACTATAATGTAGTGTTGTTTGTGTGGTTTATTTTAAAACTCTAAACTAGATTTTACATTTGTTCTTGTGCTCCTTTATTTAATATATTTAATGGGTATATATCAATATGTAAGTTGTGAATAAATATATATGTCTCATTTAATCTAATTATTTAATATAAATGAAGATATAAATTATAAATAAACACTATATGATATATAGTATGTAAGTTATCACTCTGGATTTCTTACTTTACTAATTATACAAAAACATTGATGATTTTGAATTATTTTTTAACCTTTAAATTTTTTTCTGATTTATTTATTTTTAACTTTCATTTTAGCTTCAAGGGTACATGTGAAGATTTGTTATATAGGTTAATTGTGTGTCACGGGGGTTTGGTATACAGATTATTTTGTCACCCAGGTGATAAGCATAGTACCTGATAGGTAGTTTTTTGATTCTCACCTTCTTCCCACCTTTCAGCCTCAATTAGGCCCCAGTGTCTGTTGTTCTCTTCTGAAAAAGACTTTCTTGATATATGTTTGACTATTATTCTGTGATTCCTAAATATAAATGTCTAGATTGAAATAAAAGATTTTATTTTTTATTTATTTTTACCTTGTTGCATAATTTCAAAGTTTCAAATGTACAGAAAAGTTTCAAGAATTGTGTTTAAGAATACCTTTTGTCCAGATTCAAGAGTTGTTTACATTTTGCCTCTTTTGCATAATTTCTGTGTGTGCTTTCTTACTCTATACCTGTGTGTGCTCATGTGCACACACACACACATACACACACAGAGCACATTTTTTTCTCGAATCATTTGAGAATAAGTTGCAGACTCATGCTTCCTTAACTGAAGTGTTGAAGTGTACATTTCCTAAGAATAAGGACATTGTCCTTTATATCCAGAGAATAACCTTTAAAGATATTCAGTATTGACACAATATTACTTTTATTGTGCAACTCACAGTATGTATCTAGGATCCCAGGTATATTTTGTTGTCTTATCTTTAAAAGTCCTTTTATCTGGAACATTTCCTCGGTCTAATTACTTGGACATTTAAAGAGTTCAGATAAGATATTGAGTGCAATATTCTCAGTTTGGCTTTACTGGATGTTTCCTAATGGTTAATTCTGGTTTTGCGTTTTTGGCGGGCATACAACAAAAGTGATGTCTTTTTCTCAAGTGGATGATACTTGGAGGCATGTCGTTTTTGTCTGATTTTTAATGATGTCTTCTTTGATCAATTTGTTAAGGTGGTCTCTGCCAAGTTACCCCACTGCTAGTTACTATTTTCCCCATTGTAATTAATAAGTACTTTGTGAGAAGATAACTTTTCGACTGGAAATTCTGTGTTTGTTATCACACTTTCATGCACTGGTGCTGATGCACTAATGTTTTCTTTACTGAATCATTTACTTAAAATATTATGGTGATTTTCTAACTCCATCAGTCAGTCTGTACTTTTTAGGTGATACTTGCAGAAAGAGTTTTCCCTTCTTAATTTCATTTATTATATTTTCTGTAATAAATTTTAACCCATTACAATAATTATTTATTTTTATTTCCCAATTGTCTCAGATTAGACCAGTAAGAGCCTCTTGAAGCTAGGACTTGTGTTCTTTTGACATATCCCCATCATTTGATAAATGCCTTACTTGCTTTTCTTCCAGAAAAAAAAAATGTCTCCTCAAATTTCATATATTTTTAAGTCTTCTTTCTGTGTCCATGTTCTAATATGCCAGGATAATTTTTTGGAATTTTCATAGTTTGAATGGATTTTCTGTGAGCGATTTTCATGTCACCCTTAGGAATTCTGGTTTCCTTTATCTGCTTTCTCACAGTTTTTCTGGACCCCGTATATCTGTATATGTAGTGGGAGCTTGAAAGATAACTCTTTTATAAACTGGTGTCTAATTTTCTATTTACATATAATCTGACATGTTTATTATTCTCCTACTTCCAGTTTTGCTGAAGGACTAGGATTTGTGTGTTATTTGTTTTTGTTAGGTGTATGTATTTTTTTTTTTTTTTTTTGATATGTGAACAGATTCAGATTTAGGTGATTCCTACCTGATTTCCTCAAAATGCCAGTCCATATTTTTATACTTTCTGTAAAATGTGTTGATATTTGAAGACAATTGCAGTATGCCATTATTTAACCAAAATTTGTGGATTGCATGACTCTACCTTTAGCTGTTAGTGTTCTCTTAATCCAGTTTATCCAATTAAATTGAAGTTTTTAATATATCATAGTTATTATACCTATCAATCCAGGAAATAGCTCTCTGATAGACATGTCTATAGTAAATGTAAAATAATTATTTGAGATCACTCATTCTTTCACTTGATGATACACTAATCAGTTATGTTTGTAATTTTCCCTTAGCTATGAAAATTATCAAATATATATTTAAAAAATGGAAATTCAAACCCACAACATTTTTAAACATGTATATAGATTAAAATAAGATAACTAATAAATAGCACCTGATTATAGGAATCCAGTGAAATGTAGTATTTTAAGTGGTTGTTTCAATTGACGAAGTACATTTTTTGAGAATAATAATGTAAATCCTTCAGTTTCACAGCAAAAAAGAAAAATGATGGCAATTCTTAGTAAAGGAGGGCTTGGATTTGGTACAAAACACTCTAGTGTTTAAAACTGGCAGAGTAAAAGATGGTTTATACAAGTAGAAAGTAGATGAGTATGAAAATTTGTGCTGTCTAAGAGAAGAGGGGCATCCATTTTTCTGTTTCATGCCTGAGTCTGGCCTTGTAAGAATCTTCACTTTTTTAAAAAAGCTAGATATGAGGATTTTTTTTTTGAGAAATACTCTGCTTTTGAATATTGGGTAATATTTTAAAAACCATGGTTGGGGCAGACGAAATGCACCAGTAAGCCAGATTTGGTTTTCTGGTCCCCAGTGTTCAACCTCTGCTTTGGATGCAACCTAGAAACTAGCAGATATTGTAGTAAGATGAAACCCAGGTCAGAAAATCTGGTTTTGAGCCCAGGGTTACCTCCTGTTTGCTGTGTCAGATTGAGAAAATCATGTAATTAGTGTTCACTTCAGTCTTCTTGTCCATGAGGATGAATATGCTAAAGTATGAAGAAATATAGAGATCTGCTACTTATTATAACTTTATAATTCAATTGAATTATATGTGAAGATGAATATATATCTTTTTATGTTCTAAGTTTTAAATTTAGAAAATACAAAATTTCTTGGGCATTTCTTGATTTACTTTTTTCATTTAACTATAAGCTTGATAACTATATGTTTGAGAGGTTCTGTGTAAAACGTTAGTAAAATCATTTATTCATGGGCTAGGTAGAGACCTGTGCAATCCCAGTGTCTCTAACATACTAGAGCAAAATAAATTAGATTTTCTATTCAAAATGTTTGTTCTGAATGTTGAATTGTTGATTTGGTTACAGTTGATTTTGGTGAACACAAAAGCACAACTTCTGTGTTATTAAGCTGGAATTTCTGCTTAGTACCACAAAGACCCAAATCTCTCTGAACAGAAATTCTGTTTGTTACTGAGAAATAATATTCCTTTAAAGATGTTTGGTACTTAAGAGAATTTTTGTTTGTTTTGTTCATAGTGTGTCTGATCTGTCTGAAAGAACACACTGTATTTTTAAAGGGTTATGTATAATTTTTTTTTTGAGATGTATTCTCACTCTGTCTCTCAGGTTGGGGTGCATTGGCACGATCTCAGCTCATTGCACCTTCTGCCTCCTGGGTTCAAGTGATTCTCCTGCCTCAGCCTCATGAGTGGCTGGGACTGCAGGCACCTGCCACCATGCCCAGCTAATTTTTGTGTTTTTAGTAAAGAGGTTGTTTCACTATGTTGGCCAGGCTGATAATTTTCATTAGGTTGTATTTTATTTTTTTTTCTTTGAATGGTTGTTTTATAACATTGTGTATACTCAGTGGCATAAAACCCATTTAAGTTGAAATATTATGAGATTCAAAATCAATATCCCCTTTCAAAACCCTGCTCTAAAACAAACAAATTAATTAATAATGCTTGATTAAATCACTCTCTCCTTATAATCACATTGATATTCTGAAGCACAGAGAATGGATCTGTTTACGTATTTTTGTGAGGTATGCAGGTCTCATGCGTGCATTTTTCTCAGTGCATCATTTTCAGTTAGAATTGAAATGCAATTACAAAGTGAATTGGTGCAACTCTCTGGATAAATCAAACAAAATTCTCTTCTAACTCAGTGATCCTCATATATCAGATAATAGTACCTTTTAAAAACTTGAAATATTTGAGTAGTCACCTCAGCTCTCCAAATATGTTTATTTATGAACATCTCATATTTTTCAATTACTTTTATGCTCTTCTGCCAGTATTCTGGGGGCACTGCGTTTCTTGCATATAATTCTGAAGCTAATATGCAGACTTTTCTTACTTCTTTCTTCAAAGTGTCCTCCTTGACTGATGTTTTGGAGTATTTGCATATAGTTGGGAATATTTCTGTTCATCAGCCCATTATAATTTGCTAGATGTGTAGTCTACATTTTGCAAAACCTATTTTAGTATGTTACTGTGTATAGTGTTTAAGTGTGTGTTGGTCTGGATTAGTTTTTCCTATGACCTTGACAAATTGCTTACTCTTTTGAATTATTTTTTTTCTTCCTCCACAGATAACATTTTTCTAGAGGCATTTTGAGGATGAATGTTTTCACATTTTGAAATTGCCAAGTGCCACATACAGTAAGTAATATTTTTATTTTTCTACTCAATTGCAGTTGTACTCAATTAATTTGGCAGACAGTCATAAATGAACACATTTCTATTTACAGTCTTTGATATTTGTGAAGATTGAGGACAATTGTTTACAAAAGATTAAAAAAATTGATGGGTTATTTATTAATCTGAATTAAGCTGCATAATTTTAAGATTTCTAATGACTGATTTTACTGTTGTTCTATGTTAACCACAGATAACTTTTCTCATTTATTCTTTAAATAAAAATTTTCCCTCTTAGTCACAAATCAGAAAGAGTGAAGGAAAGATTAGTAATACCAGGTAGTGTTGATATGTAAATTTAAAGGAGTACTGAATTAGTATTTATTAAGGTTTGCCATGTGTCCGGCAGTTTATATAAGCATTGCTTTTAATCTTCCCCCAAATATTTTAAGATCAGTATTTTTATTTCTACCTTATAAATGAGAAAACTAAAATGCAAAAGTTTTAATAGCTCACTCAGTATCTTTTCAAAATGATGAATCTAGGCACTTAACATAAGACTTTCCACAAAATATTGCCTCTACCAGTTAACTTAGAATAAGTTAAATAAATTCAACTTATGAAAACATGTTCTAAGTAATTCTTTTGGATTTTGGTTCTGCTTAAGCATTATCTTGACAATTTTCCAGATTATTTTTTGTATTGTCTGTCATGTATTATATTGTATGCTGTATGTATTGTATATGTATTTGTATTGTCTGTTCCCATTTTAAATAGTGTGTTCTAATTCCTGACTTGGACTGCTTTGAACTAGAAGAAAAGAAGTGAAAATGTAGATTCCTGAAAGTTTATAAAGCAGAATTATTATTTGATAAAACATGTTATGAATTAAAGTTTCAAAGTTCTGTAAGAGTCTTCTTTCATTCACCAAAAAAAAAAAAAAAACAAACAAAAAAAACATACAATTTAAAATGTTATCCTATTATGTTACAGCTGGAAGGGAGCACAGACTCATAGAGTCTTAGCCCTTACTTGATCAGCTGCCTTGTTTGATGTAGTGGGATGATATGGAAGATAATTATAAAACAGAATTTCCAAAAAATATAAAAGCAATGATGGCAACATTGATGTTTGTTCATTATCTCTCAATGTAAATACTTCAGTAAAAAGGTGGCGTAGTGTAGTGGTTGAAAAATCCAGGCTCTGGATTCTGTTGTCCACACTGATCTAGTTTACATTCCACTAGCAGTGTATTTTTTGATTTTTAATAACAGACATTCTGACTAGTATGAGACGGTATTTCATTGTGGTTTTGATCTGAATTTCTCTAACAATTAGTGATGTTGAGTCTTTTATTCATATGCTTGTTGGCTGCATGAATGTCTTCTTTTGAAAAGCATCTTTTCATATCCTTTGTCCCCTTTGTAATGGGATTTTTGTTTTCTTGCTTTTTAATTTAAGTTCCTTATAGATTCTGGATATTAGATTATTTTCCAGAGTATAGCATGCATATATTTTCTCTCATTTTTAGTTTCTTTTGTTCTGCAGAAGCTCTTTCGTTTAATTAGGCCCCACTGGCCAATTTTTGTTTTGTTGCAATTACTTTTGGTATTTTTGTCATGAAATATTTTCCATGTCCTATGTCCAGAATGATATATATTTTTTAGGTTGTCCAGTTTCAATTTTCTGCATATGGCTTGCCAGTTATCCCAGGACCCTATCCCATTGAATAGGGAGTCCTTTCCCCATTACTTGTTTTTTTATCAACTTTGTCAAAAATTGGAAGGTTGCATGTGTGCAGCATTATTTCTGAGCTCTTTATTCTGTTCCATTGGTCTATGTGTCTCTTTTTGTACCAGCACCATGCTGTTTTGGTTACTACTGCTCTCTGGTATAGTTGGAAGTCAGGTAATGTGATACCTTTAGTTTTTTTCTTTTTACTTAGAATTGCTTTGGCTATTTGGGCTCTTTTTGGTTCATGAATTATAAAATAGTTTTTCCTAATTATATGAAGAATATTATTTGTAGTTTGATAGTAATAGTATTGAATCTGTAAATTGCTTTGGACATCATGGCCATGGCCATTTTATTAACCTTGATTCTTCCCGTCCATGAGCATGGGAGGTTTTTCTGTTTGTGTCATGTCTGATTTATTTGACCAGTGTTTTGTAAAGAACTTTCTCCTCCTTGATTAGCTGTATTTTTAGGTATTTTATTCTTTTAGGGGCTGTTTTGAATGGGATTGTGTTCTTGTTTGGCTGTTGGGCTGGTAATTGTTGTATGCCTCTGCCCTGATGAAGTGCTCTAGTCAGCACTACCCATCAGAGTAAATGAGCATTATGACTGAATTTCAAATAAAAAAATAACAATTGCCTTATATTGAGTGTCAACAGAACCAGTTGACCACCCAAAACGAATTGCCTTGAGCAAAATGTTATTTGATTAGAGAAAACTTAAAAATATATAACAGTTTTTCCCCCAATGGCAGAGACAGTGTCTTACTCTACTATTATACTTTTCAGAATTTGCAGTGACTGACCACACCCTTTTCTTGCAGTCCTTTAGTTGCTTTCTGCAGTGAAAAAAAGTTTGGAATGAAGGGTTGAGCTTGACTTACCATTCTCTTTGTTCTATATTATCTTCAGATGTGTTATGTTCGTAGTACTGTCCTTTACATCACACTGGCTGCATTGATGCCTTCCCCTTTGGACTCTGCTGATCTTCAAATTCTTTCACTTTAGCCATTCATTGGTTCTACCTTCTGTACACTTTATTTCTTAAAACGAACAATCAGCAACATTTTATCTGGGGACATTTTCAGAATTACTAGTATTTAAAAGATCATTGCTCTGAAGGTGGGGCGTGGTGGCTCACACCTGTAATCCCAGCACTTTGGGAGGCCGAGGCTGGCGTATCATGAGGTTAAGAGATCGAGACCATCCTGGCCAACATGGTGAAACCCTGTCTGTACTAAAAAAACACAAAAATTAGCTGGGTGTGGTGGCATGCGCCTGTAGTCCCAGCTACTCGGGAGGCTGAGGCAGGAGAATTGCCCGAATCCGGGAGGCAGAAGTTGCAGTGAGCTGAGATCGTGCCACTGCACTCCAGCCTGGCGCATGGTGACAGAGTGAGACTCTTGTCTCAAAAAAGAAAAAAAGATAGTTGCTCTGAAATTGAGTGGATCAGATCTTTTCATGCTCACACACTACTTTTGGTTTTGAGATTCAAGAATTTACAGAGGGATGAGAATGAAGGGATAAGTCTCCATTTCTAGATTTGACCTCTGCAAGACCAAGCTAGTGATTTTGTTTGGTAATTTAATTTTATTTGGTTCAATTAATATTTCATGCTCCTAAATGTGAGAGGCACTGTGTTAGTAAGGATTAGAGCAAGTGGGAGAGAAAGACAAAAAAATGTCTCAAGGAAATTTTGTTGTTAGTTTGAGGAAATAACGTATACTCATTTAAATAAAGCAGAGGCTATGGTAAGTTACATCATGAGAATAGCATAAACTAATAAAATTTCAAAGCCATTTTAAATAATTTGAGAAATAATACAATGTACAGATGAATGAAAAAACAATCCATTATGGGAGACCTCAGAAAGGAGATATAATTCTGAACAATATTGGTCCAAGTTTTCATGGAGATTGCATTTGGGCTAGATCTTGATGCAGGTGGAAAATGTTAACTGAACAGTCAAGAAAATTGCATACTAACATTTAGAAGTGAAGAGGCATACTGTACACTCAATGAAAGACAAATTAATTAGCTTGGCACCAGAATAAGTTTCTTATGTTGGACTAAAACAGATAACAGTGGAAAATAAGGCTGGTGACAGATTGTGGGAAATACTGATAACCCTTCAAGAAATTTGAATTTAATTGGTAGGTAATTAAAAAAAGAGAGATAATATTTTGTGAGGGCTAATCCTGTGAACAGAAAGGTATTTTTAAATGCTGTTCTGGCAATATCTTCAAAATGGATTGCAGTTGGAAGACTTGTTGCAAAAAGATCAACTTTTAAGCATTTGGAGAGGGATGAGAATGAAAGGATGAGGGCAAGACCTGAGGTCAAGGCAGTGGGGTTGGACTGGGAGGTGTTGGAGCTTGTGACATTTATTTGGAAGGAAATAGGTTCAGGTGTATAATAATAAATGCTTATGCAGGATTTACTAAGTACCAGGCTTATTTCAAATGCTAATGACCAATGTCATCTCCATTTTGTGCAAGAGGAAACTGACAAAAGCATCATTTAAGCAAATTATCCCAGGTCACCTAAGTAAAACATACCATGGCTGATATTTGGGCCCATTTTGTCAAGCTCCAGAGTCATTGCAGTTACCATTGTACCATCATTTCTCTAAAAAAATAACTAAGGCTTTCAGGTTGCGTGAGCTGGAAAATGATGTTGCCAATTATCAGGGAAACTTTTTTTTTTTTTTTTTCCCAGAATTTACCCCGTCTTTAGATAGATTTTTGGATAGGCAGAAAAATCTTCTGATCTTTAGGGAGAAATATCCCTTGTGGTTAATGATAAATCTTTTGTATACATTCACTTGTATGTAGGGCAGCAGGAACAGTAATTTATTATATTACTCAATTATAAGTTAAAATAGTAAATATGTCATCTTAATCGGATTTGCCTTCCTTCTTAGCACAACTTAAAAATGTAACAAGGATAGAGTGGTAAATAAAATATTTTGTATCTTGGTTCCATAAAAGACCACTATTTTAGACATAACAGCATATGGAGTATCTCTTTTTCTGTTGGTTGATGCAAAGGAATTTTTGCCATTACTTTTGCATCACCGTAATATGCTGGAGAAGTAGAATAACGTACTGCTTAAGACCATGGGCTCCAGGACCATGTGTGGTTCATTAATTTTCATTGCTATACAGTATTCCATTGTATAAAAATATTATAGAGTACTTATCATTGTATTGTTGATGGACATTTGTACTGTTTCTAGGTCCGGGTGATTATGAATAATGCTGCCATAAACATTCCTTTAAATGTTTTTTG